TGGCCCCACAAAGCGAGCCGGTGATTGTGGCACCTGCCCCCAAGGCGGATATTGTCAAAACTACTCCACCTACTCGTGAACAGAGACCTGAGACTCCAGGGTCCTCAGGTCTCAAGGCCTCGCCTGTTGAGGCGAGGCCCAGAATTTGAACTACCAGCTCGCACGTGCGGATGTCCAGTGCCTCTGAGGAGGCAATGGATACGACGGTACCCTTGGTGCCATAAGAGCGGCGTGGCTCCTTGGAGCGCGCAAGAAAACAAAAAAAAACAGATAACAGGGCCTGGTGACGGCCCTGTTAGTTGAATTCAAACTCCACGCCTAAAAAGCCACTCGCTTTTCTTACACAGAGCACTACTTTACATTTACCATAAACACTCAAATTATACGATTGAACGTCATGGGCCTTCTCAGAAACCTTGACGACGTCAAAGAACTTTCACACGAACATGCACGAAAAGTGCTGTGTGTACAAAACACACCTAAATTCAAAGCACACCAACTTTCTCCGTAAATTCGTTATCTTCTGAAAGGACCGTGATTATGTCCTGATATCATCTGGAGGTGTAGCCGTTATAGTGAATCAAGGGATTGCATGCACACACTCTAAACTTTGATCATCCCTTGACGCAGTGGCTGTTAGAGCTGTGTTTTTTAACGAACTGATCACAATTTGTACTTATTACGTACTTCCGAGATGTCGCCTACAAAATCATGACTTTCAGTTCTTAATAGATGAGCTTCCAAAGGCTTATGTTTTCCTTAGAGACTTGAATGCACATAGCAGGCTATGCGGCGACTCTTCTTGGACGCGTGGTCGACTGAAGGAACAGTTCTTCGTTTTGTTGACCGTGTGTCTTCTGAATCGAAAAGCACTCGCCTATTATAATATCGCTCATAATACTTACTCCTCTATATACCTCATTTACGTCTCTTGTGGCTCTTCTGAGGTGGAAAGTCACCAGTAATCTCTACGAAAGTGACTACTTCTTCGTAGTTTTGAGCCCGACTGCAGAAACTGAGTGTCCAACAAGGGTTCCCAAATGGCTCATCAACAGAGCCGACTTCGAATAGTTTTATACTATCGCTCGTTTAGGTTGAAGTGACGTATGTACTTTGAGCATTCATGCTGCTGTCAACTACTTCACAGCGTTTTTTAATAATCCTGCAGCAAAATTTATCCCACAAACGAATGGACACCCTAGAAAGGGATGTGTACCGCACTGGAACTCTGAATGCCAAAACGCGCGCAAACAGCAAAACAGAGCATGGAGGTTGCTTCAGAAGTCACCGACAGCCGAAAACCATGACAGCTTTCAAAAACTAAAGTTTCAAGGAAAGAGACCGCGTCGGCAGGCCAGAAGAGAAAGTTGGCACAAGTTTCTAACAGGGATCAATCCGTATACAAAGGAGGCTAAAGTCTGGATCATAGTTAATTTAGTAGCAGAAAAAAAAGTACACTCACTTCCACTCGTAATCACACCTGGTGAGAGCTTGGAAGATCAGCTCGCAAACTATACTGACACTTGCCAAAAACACAAAACAAAAATAGAGAAGCGGAAATGACGTTCAATCGTACTTTGCTTGTACAATGCTATGTGGTTTTCTGGAGCGATCTCTACTTTTTGGAAAGAGGCGATTGTAATTCGCTTTTTGAAAGAAGGCAAGGACGCTTCTTCAGTTCCGAGATATAGGCCTATTGCGCTTACAGGCTGCTTGTGCAAACTTTTCGAAAAAAATGATAAACTGCCGACTTGTACATTTATCTTAAACAAACAATTTGCTCGACCCAATTTAGAGCGGGTTTAGAGATGGTAGATCCACCACCGACCTCCTTGTTCGTATCAAGGCACTTATCAGAGATGCTTTCGTCCACAAACTATATTTTCTCCTTGTGTTCCTCGATATCGAAAAGGCTTAGGATACAACATTGCACTTTGCAATATTAAGAGACCTGTCCCACCTTGGTGTGCGTGACAGAATGTTTACCGTAATCTAAAGTCTTGTTAAATAGGACATTCCGTGTCTGAGTGGGCAGCGTTCTTCCCAAACATGAAACAGGAGTGCCGCAAGGTGGGGTACTTAGCTGATCACTTGTTGTTATTAAAATGAATTTTCGCACTTTTTTATCCATCGAATTATGCTTTACTGTGCATATGTCAACGACGCCCAGCTTTGGTTTGAGCCTTGTATTCTGCCTATGTATAAGCGGAAGGTTCAGCTTGGATTGAACAAAGTCTCCGATTGGGTGGAAGAAAACGGGTTCCGACTGAATGCACAGAAAAGCAAGTGTGTTCTGTTCTCCAGGAAGAAAGGCACTCATTCCAAACCCCATATTCAACTGCATATGCAACGTCTTTCTGTTAATACTGAAAACAAATTTCTAGCCCTAAACTTGGACGCCAGGCTAACCTTCATACCACACATCAAGTATCAAAAAACAAAAGCATAAAAGCCATGAATGTGCTGAATGTGTTGTCACGCACTACGTGGGGAAGTGACAAGAAGTGTCACTTCCCCACGTAGTGCGTGACAAAACCGCTACCAATACATCGATACCGATTCCTGCACTCGACGTGAAAGCTTTTCTAAAACAAAAGCTCAGGGGTTATTGGCCGATCACATGGGACACACGCAAGAGTAATCAATCGCATGTCATCAAGCCGCAACTTGGTCATTGGCCGACAATATCAAAATCATATAACAAAGAAGTAGCTTTTACAAGGTTAAGGACAGGACATGCATACAGTACACATCCATTTCCTTTGTATGACGGCAATTACCTTTGTGTGCCAAGCACTCACTGTACTTCACATTTCAGTCCAGTGTAAACAATTAGACATGCTGAGAACACAGCAGTTTTTATTACCCTACCAACGACAGATACCACTTCATCCTGCAATGTTCGTCGGTAGAGAACCACTTTTCACACATTAGTCGTTCGCTTTTTTGAGAGAACTCCATACCTTTCATGCAATATACCCGGGCATTCCGTAGCATGGCCTCTCCAGAGAGTTCTCCGCTGCGGTGGCTGCACTGAACAAAGCACTTTCCTCACGGCCCACGGACGCAAGGGTGTGTAGGATCAAGGCACGTGTGCTAATGCCAAACTTGTTCACCATGGTTTTTATTATCACAAACTATCGTCATCCATTAACACCACACACTTTTCGTGGCATTGTCATGACTTTATTACTTCTACGTTTTTACCCAGCTTAGTGCGAGTCTGAAGGCCATGTTACAGCCTATAATCTCAATCACGGTCCCCATCTCCTGTCCCATGAACTGGCGCTCTTTGGCCATCAAATGGCCCTTGCGCCACAAACATTATTAGCACCCTCAGTTTTAGCCCACATTTGTTTCAACAAATTTCGACTACACCGACTGGCTTCTATTGTCTTCAGTGTGATGATTTTTGGTCGAGTAAATTCTCAAGAGCATGACCCGTAGGGTGAAGTGAGCTTGAAACCTCCGTTATAGCGGAACAACATGACAGCTCAGATGTTAACATTGTGGGCACACAAAACAGTCTGTGACTGTCTAACTCCCGTTCCATGACAGCCTGGTGTCTTGACTGAACCGCGTGACATAAATGTGTCCTTACAATAATTTGATGTTGCAATCTTCACACAGTCACTTCGGTTTAGTGGAGGGCTGCAAATTTAAAAAAAAAACCTGTCTTTGCTTTTGAGCCGTGTGAATACTCTCGCAATGACAAGGTGGAAATAATTTTTATATGACCCTTATTATTGTGATTATTGAATACTACCTTTGACATAAAGTAATGGTGAGCGCCAACAGAAAAGAAAGTAGCACTAATGTACTGATTCAAGAGTCCAGTCATTTTGCTTTCACCTCACTCGTTTGTGATAAACAAGAAGACGTACGCAGGCTTCAAATGAAATTCAGCCCCTGTCCTTCATGAAATTCATCCAATTAGCCTGTGACACATAAAGGTTTCTTAGATAAAATAAGAAATATATGTGTTACCAATGTGCGGTAAAGTCAAGAGCACAGAAAGAAAATTTTTTCTTCAAAACTGATTTAAAGTTGATTGATATGATTGATATGTGGGGTTTAACGTCCCAAAATCGTCATATGATTATGACAGACGCCGTAGTGGAGGGCTCCAGAAATTTCGACCACCTGGGGTTCTTTAACGTGCACCCAAACCTGAGCACACGGGCCTACAACATTTCCGCCTCCATCAGAAATGCAGCCGCTGCAGCCGGGATATGAACCCGCGACCTGTGGGTCAGCAGCCGAGTACCTTAGCCACTAGACCACCGCAGCGGAGCAACTGATTTAAAGTTCTGGGATCACAGGCTGGTCATACTAAGACTTTTGGTAAGTGAGAGAGTGCGCAAAAGCTAAATGCAAGGGGGAACGCCATCATGAAATTCGTGCAGCAGACGCCATCATCTATTTTCACCCTATTGCATACGCGGTACCTAACCGGTAAAAATTAATTACATTGACCTCTGAGGAAGCCACGATTTAAAGACCAAGTTTCATAAAATTGTGTTTAGTGAATGTCTCTAAAAAACTAGAAATACAGGTCAAAAGCCTTTACGTCTTGCGCGCTGATTTGAACGTGAATTTTTCAAAATAAACTTTCGCATTATTTTCTCCTCTATCATATAACTTTTAACGGCAAATTGAATGACACACAAGTTCTCATAATACGCTATCAGTGTGAACCACTTGAGTGTTTCAATTTAGTGGCCTTTCAGAATAAGGCAAATCCCAGGCACGGCCCAACCCGAGCCCGGACTATCGAACCCGTGCACGACTTTAAGCCCGCAGCTTTATTCCCAGTGCTGAACCCACTATGAAACAAGCTTGCCCGGCTGGTGCCCGGGTTTTTGAGTATGCCCAAGCCCATGCTTGGCTCTAGTTCACGCAGAACAAGAGTTTACATACTGTAGCCACATTATGTTTTCGATGATAACTTGTACGTCTCTGCTAATGTATGTCTATCGAAATCAATTTATCATTGTAGCAATGTGAGAAGATTTTATTGAGTGCCGAGAAACTTCGTGGCAGGTGTAAACATGTGAATTTTAATCAGCAATTAGGTGCGAGACGCCTACGTACTTCGTCTTGTTCGCATTGAATGGCAGAGTACTAGGTTGGGTGGCCATTACAGTTGCATACGTGCATAAACTCCTTGTAACAGGTTATGATGTTCTTCGTAACAGAAGGATTCTTCACCCAGAGCTCTGTGCTTTCGAGTGCATCTGCAAGGAAAATTGTGAGCATTTTGACTGTGGCTTTTTATCGCATGATACGATAATTTAGGAAGTTTGGTAGGCAAAGTATCTGCCATTCACTGATTTCTTAAAGTTTTAAGTGTCAAACTAACAGAAAATAGTAGAAACCTTATGAAAACCAAAAGAATGAAGACAATGAAGATACCTAGCACTTCTGGGCAGTATCGCGATTAAAAGTATCACTTCGGCGAGGTGGTGCGTTGCTAAATATCAAGATGGGCAAGATGTGGCATATCAGGTGCATTGGAATATTATCTCTGAGATGCCATTAGAAATCTGTATTTCTGTATCGACAGACCTTTGGACGTTGTGTTTAAATCACAGTATTGAAATACTCTTACAATGGGTTGAATATATCGTATTTTGTGCTGGACGCGGGCAACTCGTCGATTTTTGCGTAAAATGATTACAGGTGTATGCAAAGCGGAAAAGGGCATTTTTTGTGGTAAGCTAAGCAAATGCGAACCACCAGTTCTCGACATAGGAAGGGTAGCGAATGGTTCTTCTGTTGCACAGAATAACCAATGTAGTAAAGCGTCCGAAGAAGCTGATTGTATAAACGCTGACACAGTGTTATCAGTCTTGACGACAACGTCGGCATATTTAGGGTGGGTGAATGAATTCATATTTTGTCTTTGGGTGCTGAGGAAGTGACAGCCATATGGGGAGCTCGCAAGCCTTGCGGTGAAGCCAAACTAACGCTGTCTAGCAAAGGCACTGAGAAGCTGTTGCTTTCTGCGTCCAATGAATGGAACCTCCTTAGAAAGGCACATCTGTGTAACGTAAGTGCGTGCTTCCTCTGAATTCGCTTGTGTTCATTAAAGATTCGGGCGATTTGCTTTACTTTCAAGTTCCAAGGTACTGCTACGTTATTTGCAATACTATTTCGTACCTAAGAAATGTTTCTTCGCAGTATCAACTTCCCCGAAATAAAATAAATTCCAGTATTTTTATCGCATTTTATCTCTATTCCGCGATACTTTTGTTGTCTTATACTAATATATTCCTAAAATATTTCTTTACGTCAAAAATAAGAGTGGTTTGTATCTTCATTGCAGCCTTCCAGCCCATGTATTTCTATATTCATATTCGAAAATACTTTTGCAAGCATTTCTGCCTACCTCTGTTATACGGTACGTTAACTGTACTTTTTCAGTTGTACACTACTAATTATGATATATATTTAGAGAAGGTACAGCAAAGAAAAGACAAGCTACCACCCACTGGTATCCAACTTGCAACTTTCAGATAACGCACCAGATGATCCACCTATTGAAATACGGCGGCCGTCATCCTCTCGTCCTTTTTATCGGGTATTCATTTGCACGCAAGCCTAGAAGTGTTAGTCGGCATTACTTTGAGCCATGACGGCGAGTGGCGAACACTCTTTCTAACCAGCTGAGCTCCCGTAGCACTTGAGCTTTTACAGAGTGGACAGCTGATCTAAGCCCTTACTTAATACCTGATCGCATCATAACTGCCGGAGTGAGACCAGCGTTATGAATGATCAAAATAATATGAACCAGAGGGCTCGTGTTTTTCGTTTCATACGATTCCAATAGAAAAACAAGAGTTAACTAAATATTAACAGTGTAGACGACCCTAATTGTACGCTTTTAACTGTGTTGTAGTAATCTATACATTGAAGTCAAGAAGGTGACAGGAACAAAGAGACAAGTTGCCACCAGCACAGGCGAAACCTGACGAACTGTTTGATAGGAGTGCATAAGCTGGCTCTATATTTATGACATTCTTTAGCACCACCAAGACAGTAGCAGACTAAAGACTCCCCTCGATATTATTTTATCTCTAAGATTCTGCAAAACTCCTTTTGCTTTTGCACCAGCTATCTCTACCAGTTTGGTTCTCAATTTTTTGTAATTGCCTTTCATTGAGTAGTCATACGACCGTACATGAAATATTCAGTGTAAATACTACGCCATTTATATTTGATAATTTAACTCAAGCGTCAACTGCTGCACTGAAGCAAGTGGTAAGGCACAGTTTTCATTCACGTGTCTATGTTGTGGGAAGCACCCTGCGCCTTGTCACGCAAAGCTTAAATGTGACGGGCGAACCTAAAGAAACACTGCAAAAGATTTGGCAGTTTTGTAAAAACCCATTGCGCCGGTATACCCAGATTTAACAGTTATTTACAGACTTATTTAAGATCTTGGTGTAAGTTGCACTTTATTACAACGCTTTAAAACTGCGAATCGGTGCAGAGCACTGCGGCTCAGCCAAACGCGTTTTCCATCAACCATTCGCAGTACGACATCTATTCGAAGCGTGACGGAACCCAGCCTTCTGATCTGATTGCATGTGGAGTAAGCGTAAGATCGGCTCGTAGTGGGGCGGCAACTGTAGGCACGGATAACAACCACGCCACAATCATCGTCTGTGTAGCCAGGCGGTGCGTGTCCTGCCAGGCTGCAGCCTCCGAGATGCAAGCACCCTGTCGACGTGTAATCTCGGTAGTCAGGAATGGGCGAAACTCGAATCGTACAGTGCGCTCATGAAATCTCGGCGATCGCCAGCGATACCAGCGTGTGTCTTGAGTTGAAGACGCAAGGCAGGAGGTAGAATAAGGGTATAGACATAAATGTTCATAGCGGCCTTGATGCAGGACACGTCACTAAACTTACGGTGAAAAAGGTTTAGTGATGCTTTAACCTAGACACTGACAAAACTTTGAGAACCGTTTCAGCGCTTCTTAACACTCAACTAAGTTGAATAAAAAGGAAACTAGATATCGAATAGACGAACTATCCAGCATGCAGCGGCCCGTGCAGTCCTGCTAGAGAAAAGTTAGTCTCTTCAGGCCAAATGTAGAAAACGTCCTTAGTCGATTCACTCGGAGCCGTGAACACCAAAGATACAGCCACAATACTTTTTAAACAGTGCGGAAGGTGTGTTTGTGTCGTCTTTTTCTTTGCGGTGTGTCTTTGTTGGCGCTGTAAAAGTACTTATATGAGTATGAACCAACTTCCACGGGTCTTCAACGTGTCAGATATGCGGAATCAGGGTGTGGTGCTTCAGAAATAGTTGTCCAACTGTAAAGAGTTACATTATTCTGATAGGCTAGGTATTCCAGTATATTAATGCCTGCTTTATTTGCCTAAATGACACTTCAATGTCGCCCATGGAAATGGGTGGCACAAAATCATGCCTTGTACATTTTACGTGTACCGTATGCAGAGCAATGCCACTCAAACTGATTAGAAAAATTGAATCTATTGTACTTAAAAATGAGCATTTATAGCATACTTCAGATTGAGCCTTTTAATGTACTTTATAATGTACTTTACGATGGGTGTAGAAGACAGATTGAAGAAGGAGCTTGGAGGCGAGGAAGAAGAGGTAGCCAGGGACACGCTCTGCATAAATTTTTTTCCTGTTCTGCCAACAATAGACCGAAGACGTATCGGTTCTTCGGTCTCTCTGGTCCTTCTGAAATATGGTGCCATGACCAGGAGTGTCTGAAGACAGACGCAGAGACTTCAACCCCATTCGCAACAACGGGTTGAAGAACGAAGCAGCGGCGTCTGGCTCAAGGACGAACCGTCGAGAGAAGGACCACGACCAACGACTGTTGGCGACGCACATAAACAGGCAAGAGCTCTTTCAACACGTTTTAAGCATGAATAAAGAGGTCCTATCGAAGAAGCGGAACATGCTTTGAGCAAATGTGACAACGCTTACGCGCGAAATCGATAAGAAGATAGAAGAAGACGCCGATTAAGCGCAACTTATGACGCTTCTGAACCAGATGAAGAACATGTCACAGACGCTAAGACAAGTTAACAAACAGATAGAACCGTTCATTGAAGAAGACGACGCCGAGGCAGAATTTGAAAGAGTTTTGCATTATAAGATGAAGATCGTCGCTGCAACGACAAAAATAGAGGAGCAGTTACGCGAGTTAGAACAAGCGACGCAATTGACTACGAGAATAGTCACAAAACAGGTGAGCTCAGTGCAAGGTACTAACGAGATCTCGTAGACGCAAGAGCTTGTTAAGTTGCCACGTCTTGAGATGATCAAGTTTGATGGGAAAAAAACAGCATGGCCAAGGTTTTGGCATCAGTTCAAGACATCGGTGCATGACAAAGTGAACATGCCGAAGAATAAAAAATTTAATTACCTACTAGCGTCTCTGAGCGAGAAAGTTGCGTCCCTCATAGAAGGTTTGCAGTTTTCTGATCAGAATTACGAGCATGCAGTAGCTCTTCTGAAAAAAACCTTTGGACGAGAAGATAATTTAAGAGAGACCTAGCTAAAAAACCTTGCAAACTTGAAGCAGTGAAGAGTTCTAAAGATGTAGATGGGTTGATGAAACTCTTCCAAAAGTTGCAAGTGAACACACGAACATTGCAGTCGTTAGGAGAGGAACTGGGTAGTTACGCCACAGTGATAGCTCCTATTGTAAAATCTGTGCTACCGGTGGATATGAGGATTGAGATGAAGATGAAGGAGATAGAGAAATGTGACAACAGGCCAGCAACTACGGAATGGAACTCAGCGTCAAGAGACAGCACGAGCAGTTTAAAAGAAATTATGGAGTTTTTAAAGATGTACATACGCAGCAGAGAAGAAACTTGAGAGGAAAAATACGACGTGACCCAGTCACCGCACAGTATGAGGCGGACTAGAACATCTACGCTTCAAAGCATATCAATTTAGAAATGCATCTCCTGTAAAATGACTAGACACTACACGGAAGATTGCAGAAGAAGCATTGGTATGTAACAGAAGAAAGGAGCCTTGCAACGGGAACGAAGGTGATTCAGGTGCACAAGACCTCACCACACGGCGAAGATATGCCACGCTAACGTACGCTGCAAAACATGCAAGGGAAGGTACGCGACATCCATATGTCGACCGCGTACGCCTGCAGGAAAGTGAGCCCAGCAGCAAAGTGGTGATGTTGAGCAAGTGCGTAAAAGCGCGCAACCTGACCGGTTAGA